AAATAAAAATCCCAGATTAGTTAAGTAGCCTTCTCTAAATATCAACAATAAAGAGAAAATAATGTGAGTAGTATAATTAGGCAGACATGCTATTTTTATGCCCATATCTTGGTATGCCCCAAAATCCAACAAAGAGACAAAATCCAACAAAAAGCCCTTATTCAAATTCAATTTTGGTCTCTTCATGTGTCTAATCCTTTGCACGAGACAGCCTCCAGTTTAGTTGTAGTATTTATCATAGCAGAAGTTGGGGTGGGGGAATTTCTAAGATTCAGGACCCTGATTGGCTGATATTTGTCTATTGCTGTCTTGGTAAAGGGAACAGGTGTGTTCTAAGTTAAGGGACAACTTGGGATCCTATCTACAGTGGTCTGCTCCTGGTTGGTGCTCGGGCGGTTGCAGTTTGAGGTATTTCCTGGAGTCCGATATTACCTAAGGGAAAACTGAAATTTCTGGTCTACTTCCTGGCTCGTCTCTATTGAACCTGCCATGGGCACTGCCAAGCTGCCCTGGGCCCTACAGTAATATCCATGAAAAAAATCCATCTTTGTAAGCTTTATAAAATAGAAGAAAGAAGAAACTGAATATTCATCCCTCTACTTCTATGGAATACATGAAAGAGTGACTTCATATATATTCCCTAAGAATAAAGGTATTCTTAGTAAATTTTTTATTTTTTCAGTTAGCATAAAAGGTATTGTGTTTTATTATGTTGCTTTCAAATATTATTTGTTTTTTATTGATCTGTTTTTCCCCATTGATTTTCTCCCACCACCACTCAAACCTGCTCTCAGCTTTTCTGTTTTATTTCATGTGCACTCAATCTCCATTCCTTCCTTCATCAGCATCCACTTTTGACCACGCATAGTTCTTTTTCTTAAAATGTCCTTTAGAAAATTAGCTCTTGTGATGGCACTACATTTAATGCCAGCGCTAAGGAAGCACAAGCAAGTGGATTTCTGTCATTTCAAGGCCAGCCTGATCAGCAGAGTGAAGTTCAGGACAGGCTCCAAAATTACACAGAGAAACCAAGCCAAACCAAACCAAACCAAACCAAACCAAACCAAACAAAACCAAACAAAAGTTAAGAAGTAAATGTAAATGACCTATGATCTTAAAACAACATGATTATGATAATGAAATTAGTTTTGAGTTTCAAGCCCTCAACTAGATAATTTAAAATATCAGTGTTTTCTTTTCTGAAAACAGCATGAAAAAAACTCAATATGGAGAAAGGATGAATTGTGGTAGAAGATGTATAGAATAATCAATCATAGATGCCATATTATTTAGTTATTATTTTTGTGATGAAACACTATAACCAAGCCAGGCGTTGGTGGCGCATGCCTTTAATTCTAGCACTGGGGAGGCAGAGGCAGGGTGATCTCTGTGTGTTCGAGGCCAGCCTGGTCTAAACAGCAAGTTACAGTACAGCCTCCAAAACAATACAGAGAAACCCTGTCTTGAAAAACAAAACAAAACAAAACAAATAAAAAACCCAAAAACCAAACAAACAAAAAAAAAAACCAATATAATCAAAGCAACATAGAAAGAAAAGTGGTTATTTGACTGATATTTCCACATCACTGTTTATCAATGAAGGAACTCGGGAGAGCAATTTAAATACTCCAGGTACGTGGAGGAAGGAACAGATGCAGAGCCCAAGGAAGGGTGCTATTTGCTGGCTTGTTCTCCTTTGCTTGCTCACCCAGCTTTCTTATAGAACACCGGACCAGGGATGTGGAAACCAGGGATGGCACCACCCTAATTTAAAAAATGCTCTAAGGCTTGCTCACGGTCAAATTTTTGATAGACATTTTCTTATTTATTCGTTTATCTATTTATGTATTTATTTATCTCTAATACAACACATTCTGGCTACACTTAATCCCCTCCACTGCTCCAACTTGGAACTGTCCAGCAACCAATTCCACCCACCTCCATCCATCTGTCAGATTCACTTCTCCTCTGTTTCCCCTTAGAAAAGAGCAGGCCTCCTGAGGTTATCAACTTAACAGAGCACAAGAAGTTAAAACAAAACTAGGTATAAACCTTAATTAACATCATAGCTGGGCAAAACAACCTGGGAGGAAAAACCACCCCAAAAGAGGCAACAGAGTCAGAGACATCCCCAATCACACAAAAACCAAGGAAACCACCTTAACATTTGCAGAGGATCAAGCAGAGTCCCATTCAAGCTCCATGATTGCCCTGTCTTTGTGAGCCCCTATGAGCCCTAATTAGTTGATTCTATGGGCCATGTTCTCCTGGTGTTCTCTACCACTCTAACCCATGAAATTGTTCTTCTGCCTCTTCTCTGGGGTTCCCAGAAGAGAGGGATCCAAAGGAGATCTCCAACGTACACTTTTTCTTGTCCTAATGTTTGGATATGGGTCTCTCCATCTGCTCCCATCAGCGATGAGAGGAAGCCTCTTTTACGAAATTTGGTCTAGGCACAGATTTACTAGTACAGTATAGCAGAATATTACTTATAATCATTTTATTTGTTTTTTGTTATCTGTATCCTATGTCTCTGGGCTATCTGGCCTCTGTTTCCTTGTCGTCCAGGCTATGTTAGGATTTGGTTCCCTGTCATGTTGTGGACTGCAAATTGAACAAGTCATCTGGACATCGTGGCTCAATCCTTTAATTCCAGCACTCAAAAGGCAAGACAGGCAATGCTCTATGATTTAGAAGACAGTTTGGTAAGCAAAAGGATTTTCAGAGCAGCCAAGGAAGTTACAGAGAAAACCTATCGAAAGAAAAGGAACAAACATCAAAAACAAAAACAAAAATTTGATCATTCATTTGTTGATTCCTCCAACAAGTTCTATACCTCCATTTCCCTAGCACAACATTCAGGCAAAATAGGTAGCAGGATGAAATTTTTGTGGCTAAAGTCAGGGAATACTGACAAAAGGGGCAGGAAGAGTTGTTGGAGCCAGAAAGGTTTTCAAAACCAGGATAAAGATATTTATTAAAATATGCCAATCTATTTAATGCATCTAATGGTAGTAAATGGCTTAACAGAAACCACATCTTCCACCCAGAATCATTACTAGACTTTCATTCTTATATTTTTAATATAATTTTAAGCATCTCAAATCATATTGTTATTCACAGATAAAAATTTAGTGCAAAATTATACTCATATATAAATAAGCATGTACTTACTAATGGTTGTGGTGAAGAAGAAATGATTAATTTAATGTCTCGTGTAATTCTGATTTTGTCTAGGTTATTTGTTTTTCATGGTTGGATTTTTTTCTGAATTTTACCACTGCTGGAGGATGATTTTTCAATTTGAATAGATTCTATTGATATGCTTAAGAAATGGGGCAATGCTTTGGAACAACTCAGAGAATAAAACTGATTATCATGGCACAGTGCCTATTAATTATTTATATTAACATAAATCAGTCAAATGTGAATTGAATGTTATGTAGCATCATTTCAAAAAGGTAGTGATTTTCTGTCGTTAGAGAATTCCCAGAAAACAATTTAAAATTGTTCTCATTGACTTTACATGTGTTCTGGTTAAACACTACCCTGGAGGGTCTAAATATCAGCTTGACTTAGAGAAACACGACACATCTAAATATTTTCACTATGTATTTGGATTTGATGTTCTCTGTCCAAAATGAGCTTATAGTAACTTCCTTTTAAAATTACCATGTTCTGTCTAACTATTCAATGTCTTTGGTTATTAAAATGTCAAATGAGAGGTTTTTTTTTTAAATAACAAGAAGAAATCTTGTCATTGATGCTATAATGTGACACAGTTGCCCAGTAAACACTTTTATCCATATATCTTTACTTCAAAGTGTACATTGCAAAGAGTCACTGGTCTGGCTCCAGGACTCTGGTTTCTGGTATGCTAATGGTGCTGGGCCCTCACTAGAACTCCTCTTGGTTATCCTATTGCTCCCTTTTGTCCTGGAGGTCCTGAAGCTTTGGGTCTGCAGGACTGGTCCCTAAACAAGCTCCAGCAGGTAACAGGTGGGGTGAAGGTTGGTTTGGGTCAACTCATAACCCAGGTTCTGGTCCTGGGTAGTTGAAGGGAAGGTCAACCTGCCAGGACTCCCTTATTCATACCACCAGAGCAAGCTCTCCTGCATTGTCCTGGCTAGTTCCCCCCTTCAGTGACGTCCTCATTCATACCTAATCCTGAAGGGACTAGCTCTACTGTTTGCCCAGGTGAACTATAGGGATAACAGGTGATAAGGGGCAGAGACAGCACTCTAGCTCTTATTACCTCAGGGCCAACTCTTCCCACCTGCCTCAGGCATTATTTGGGGGTGGGGCATCTCTCCCCCACACATGCTGACACACGTCAGATGAATAACAGGGACAGCTCTCTCATGCTCATAACTTTCAGATTTACACACCCATATCTCTACCAAAACAAAGCAAGGCATACTGTATTTCTTATATTTAATAACTATACTATATTCTCCGGTAAGAGACATACTTAGATTAACAATTATGGGGTAATTACTTAAAGCAGAGCTAGCCAGTAAGAGACAAGCAAGACCAACAGCTTCATAATTATTATAGCCTCCTGTGTGTTTATTTGGGACTGATGCGGCTCTAGAACCAGGCTGGCGGAAAGGCTTCTCTCAAGGAAAAAGCTTCTCTTTTTTTTTTAATTTTTATATGTCAATAAGTCTTTATTTATTATATACGGTATTACCACAGTTAACCATCAGAGAGACCACACTGCAATTTTCAAGTAGACAGAAATGAAAAAAAGTAAGTCTGCATGCTGTCTTCATGGTGCATAGAAAACTGGTGAGCTAACAACTAGCTGGTAGGCTTATAAATCACTCCACTGTGTTAATAAAGGCTGTTTTAGCCTGGAAATGGAATTAACTCTCTGACAAGCTTTGGACAGTTCTAAATTGCAGGTCTATTGAAGGGTACAACAAGCAAATATAGAACAATGTCATATCTTGTTTTGAAGGGAGATAGATGGAGACTCAAGTTCTGCACCACTTGAGAACCATCTTAGTAATTTAATGTTGGCTTTCCTTTACAATATATGTTGGCAACTGAAGAATTACGAATTTCTAGGAAAAGTCTAGGGTTAAAACAGCACTTTTCCATAAAACAGAATTACTACTTCATAACATCTGACCAGTTCTCATCTTCTGTCCTGCCCAAATCCTCATCTGGTGAGGTATAGTGAAAGCCTCTAACAAATGTAACAGACTTTTCAACCAGCTTCACATACTATAAGTATCAGAAATGTGCCCAAGACGTGGATGTGTCCACAGGGAAATGGCAGTGCTTCTATTGTAGGTAAGTGTCAAGTTTTCTCATGATGTTATCAAAAGAATCTGCTCCCATGTAATCAGCCTGGCCCTGTTCCCACCGCTCCTTTCTTTCTTCTGAGGACATAGAAGGTTGTGGTGTAGCCTGGGCTTCCCCAATGGACAGGTGTGACAAAGCTCCTGAGACATGTTCCATCGTTAGAGAGGAGCAGGCATCTTTGTCTAGGCCTTGTTGTTGAAGCAGGGGTAAAACACCGGTGGTGAAGATGTCCCACCACAGGTTCAGAAACTCTGGGTGACTCACAGTTGGGTCTTGAGATTCACATTTGACACTTTTTGTTTGGGGACTGTACGTGTAATTCCATGGCTTGATTTGTCCCAAGAAGTGCACAACTTTGGCATCTGCACCAAACGCTTTAAATGCCGGGAGGTAGGAGTATATTGAAATGCTGCTCAGATTATACACAAATGGCAAGTGTTTCCTGATATCTGTTGTTGCCCAGCCACTAAAATATGTATTCAGTAGGCCCTGGTCCCCACCATCAAAACTACCTTGCTCAGAAGCAAGGTGCAACAGCTGGTTATATGTTTCAATTGAGGGTTGATAGACAAAGACTCCAGAATTGAAGCAGTCAGGCCACCCTGGATCTGGTGCTGCTGACAATTCTTCTCTTTCAAAAAGATCATCAACATTTGTGAGGACCAGAGTATCTGCATACATGAACACACATTTGGAATACTGAGTAAGTGACCAGCAGTGGAGTTTCGTCAGAGTGATGCCCAACTCAGGCCTCTTCATTAAAGTTAGGTGAGCAGAATCGCCACTGTCCAAGACATCTACCATGATGACTTCATCAAAGACAGTCTCTAAAACTTTTCTCATGGAATCTGAGACCTGTGGGGTGGTGAGTACAACCATCCTCCTTGTAGTCCTTTGCTGTTTTAAAGATGAGCCCAGGACCAGTGCACCTTTGGCATAGGCATCGTTTGTGGTCAGCGTCACAAAGGCCTGATCTGTCATAGTGCGTCCCGGGAAAGGACCTCGGCCAGCGGGGAGGGAAAAAGCTTCTCTTAACAATACTAAATCTGCAATGTACGTTTTTTATATAGCACAATTATAATTAAATTCACTTTGTATCTCCAAACGTTTATGTTATGGCCTGTCCTAAATTCTTTCAAATACCACTTAGGTTTTGGTGATGAGCTGTTATCTTTATTTCTTTCAAGGCACACCCTTGAGACTTTTATTTGCAACCTTATCCATGCTGTCTGTCATAACTCTGAGTTGCTGTATTCCACAGTTTCTGGATAAGAAATTTTAGCAATCCTAGAAATTTAATGACAGGAATTATTTCAAACAGCTCCAGGCGCATGTCTGATTGGCACTTGGACCGTTGTTTTTTAGATCACAAGTTACAAAAGCAATTTAGATGGGATTCATTCTTGAAATTGATTAAAACAGGATGGAGAAAACAAGCAATGTCTCCAATGAAACAGCATGTCAAACTGTCCTTCAAGGAAACGATGAGAGACACAGGGTCTGAAATCTCTTTGTTTCACAGGAAAGTTAAATTCCTTTGATACATTTTTAAACATTAGTCTTGGCTATACCAACAATGTTTGCAAATATCCAGTAAACTAGATTGTCTTTCATATTTTTATTCATTTTAAATGCTTTGAATTTTTCCAAGATACCACTTTTTAAAACTTTGAAATAATGGTGAAAAACATTATTTTGCAGAGTGAACAATATTACAAAAATTCTGATATTATGAAATATAATTCCTTTTGGGATTGATATACAGTAACAGGAAGTAATCATTAATCTATCCATTTATAAAATTATAATTTTAGTTGAAATGAGATTTGACTTTTTAGATGATATTTAAATTTTATTTCAAGCATCCAATATTCTTTGCTGTTTAAAATCACTAGCAATTTCTGTTGCTATCATACCTTCATAAATAATTGTTGAAAATAAAACCAATTTTAATATGTACAATATTTTTAGTAATAGTAGTTATGCAAAACTAGTATTATTTCATTTCTATTTTCTACATCTTTTAATGTTTCTAACTAAATTATTTAGTTTAATATATTTTCAAAGTGATTTTCTCTTAAAATAAAGGATTCAGTACATTTAAAAATTTTAAATACTTTTCTAAAAATCAAAGCTATAATTTAGTTCTGTATAGTCCTTAGTCTTATGTTCCTGGGAAATATACTTGTGTAATATTGTACTTCAAGCACTCATCCGTCTGTCATAACCAGTCCTTGAACCTCAGTGAAACAATAGAGGGCATTGAATGTTAAATTGACCTTGCATCTCTAAGTACACACTAATTTCTTATACCTGTTTTATAAGTGAACTATAGTCACATATTATTAACTCAGCTAAGACCCATGTGTTTATATATGTTTTTACTACACTAAATGTCTTTTAGATTGAGCATATATAACTAGTTGTGGTTCATTTGATACAATGAAGAATAACTTAATGACACTCTTGCACAGAGTTCTTTTTTAAAATTATTTTGTGTGAAATAATGGTATTTTTACCTTTTTCTTTCCAATTTCCATTACTTTATCTTCTTCAGTTGCCTTATTGCTCTAGCTAAAGCTTCAACTTTGTTATTGAATATATACAGAGAGAAAGTTGACTACTTTTTCTTATTTCTTATTTTTGTGGGAATGCTTTTAGTTTTTCTCCATTATTTTGATGTTTGCTATAGGATTGCAGTAAATTGTGTATATAAATATTTAGATATGTCCCTGGTATCCCTAGTCTCTCCAAAACTTCCATCAAGAAGGTAGGATGGATTTTGTCAAAAGCCTTTTCAATATCTAATGAGATAATCAAGTTTTTTTCTTTCAGTTTATTTTTATAGTATTCTATAGCTGCTGTTTTTATTGTATGTTGCACCATCCCTAAATCTCTGAAACCTTGGCTGTGTTCTTTATGCTGTGTTCTTTAAACTATTTCAGTGAACAATTTACATCTATAGTCATAAGAGATAATTGTCGCTGGGCGTTGGTGGTGCACACCTTTAATCCCAGCACTTGGGAGGCAGAGGTAGGTGGAACTCTGTGAGTTTAAAACCAGTCTGGTCTACAGAGTGAGTTCAAGGACAGGCTCCAAAACTCCAAAACAATAAGGAGAAACTCTGTCTCTAACATCCCCCCAAAACAAAAAACAAAACAAAACAAAACAAAAAAACAGAGATAATTGTCTAATTCTATTCTCTATTGAGAATTTATGTGGTTTGGATATTTAGGTAGCTATAGCCTCATAAAATGAATTGGGTGATATTTCTTGTTTCTTTGTTGTGGAACAATTTGAGAAGTATTAGCTTCAAATATTCTTTTATAGTCTGGTGGAATTCTGTACCAAAAATCAACTGGTCCTTATTTGTTTGTTTTGCTTTTTGGTTATAGGTCTATTTGAATTGTCTATCTGATCTTGACTTAAATTTGACAAATGGTAACTATTGAGAAATTATCCATTACTTTTACAATTCCCTATTTGGTTAAATGACCTTGTGGCTCTCTAGAAGTCATAGGTGCCTTTCATTTTGTTCACTTTTTCAATTCTTGTTTTATTACTACGGATATTCTCTCTGCCTTTAGTTAGTTTGGAAAAAGCTCTTCTATCTTGCTGAATTTCTGAAAGAACCAATTCTTTGTTTTATTAGCAATCATTATGATTATATTTTATTGTCTAACTTTTCTTGGATATCATTAGTTCTTTTCCATTTTAGACCTTTCAGGTGTCTGTTAAGTTGCTTGTATGAGAACTCTCTAACGTGTTATGTAGGCACCCTCTGTCATGAACTTTCTTCTTATATCACTTTCATTGTGTCTCATAGTTTCAATGTGCCTTGTGTTCATTTTTATTTTCATTCAATTTTATTAATTCTTTGACATATTTATTTCTGCTTTGGCCTGTTTTTCATTCCCTAAAGAGATGCATAGATGCCCCTCAACTGAAGAGTGGACAGAGAAAATGTGGTACATTTACACAATGGTGTACTATTCAGCAGAAATAAAAACAATGGAATCCTGAAATTTGCAGGCAAATGGATGGCAATAGAAGAAACCATCCTGAGTGAGGTAACCCAGTCACAAAAAGAGAAACACGGCATGTACTCTCCCATATATGGATTTTAGACAGAGATCTGGGGAGTGCCAGCCTACAATCCCATGACCAGAGAGTCTGGGAAACAGAACCTTCATTCAATAGCTGATGGAAGCAGAGGCAGACTCCCACAGCTAAACACTGAGCTGAACTCAAGGAATCTAGTAACAGAGAGGGAGAACTGATGTGCAAAGGGTTTAAGACTGGGCTGGTTTAACCCCCAGAAACAGCAGACCTGACAAGGGTTAGCTCTTGAATCCCAGAATGATGGCTAGGATTCAGCATGGGACTGATCAAGACCCTCTGAATGTGGGTGTCAGTGAGGCGGCTTAGGTAATCTACTAGGCCTTGTGTAGTAGATCAGTATTTATCCTGGGTATACAAATGAACTTTGGGCACCCTTCCAACAATGAGAAATGCACTTTCACCCTGGACTCTTGGGGGAGAGTCTAGGCCCTGCCCTGGATGACATGACAGACTATGGAAACTCGCATGGAGGGCCTCACCCTCCCTGGGGAAATGAGGGGTATTGGGGGGCTTGATGGGAGGGCACGGGAGGAGGGGAGGGAAAGAGAGAGGGACCTGGAACTGACTTGTGAAGCAACATTGTTTCTAATTTAAATTTAAATTTAAAAATAAAAACAAAAAAATAGAGTTGTGCAGTTCCCATGAGTTTGTAAGCTTCCAGGTGTTTACGTTGTTGTGGATATTTATCTTTATTCCATGGTTGTCTGATGGGATACAGGGAGTTATTTCAATTGTTTTGAGTCTGGTGAGAGGTGCTCTGTGTCTGAATATGTGGTCGGTTTTGGAGACTGTTTTGTTAAGTATGGAGTAGAAACGAACCATATTCCCTTTTATTTCAGTGAAATATTCTATAACCATCTCTTAGGCTTAGGTATTTTGTAATGTCTGTTAGCTCCAGTGTACCTCTGTCTTGTTTTAGTCTGGATGACCTGCCCTGTCCATTTTTGCAATTGGGCATCGAAGTCTCCCATTATCAGTATGTGAGGCTCAATATGTGATTCACGTTGTGGTGTTTTATTTTGTTTAACAAACTTGGAGCATAAATATTTGGTGGATATTTCCCTTGATAAGTAAACAATGTCCTTCCCTATTACTTTTGATTATTTTTGGTTTTGAATTCTATTTTGTCAGAAATTATAGTAGTTAAACCAGCTTGATTCTTGAGTTTATTTGCTTGGAAAATCAACTCTAACTTAATGTTGATGTATGTCTCTTGAGTGTAGCAATAGGACAGTTAGTGGTTTTGTACATATTTGTTTAGTTTGTCTTTTTTATTGGGTAAATGAGTCCATTGACATTGAGAGATATCAATGATCAGTTATTGGTGCTTCTGTTTTTTCACTGTTGTTGATGGTAGTGAGTGTAAGAATATGCATGTGTGTGAGTTATGTATGTGTGCTATTTCTGTTAGAGTCTGCTTTTCTTCTTTTGATTTTACTTGTGTGGGAACACTTGAAGTTTTTTTCAGGGGTGTAGCTAACATCCTTTAGCTTGATATTTCCTTCTAGAACCTTCTATATGGATTGATTTATATATCCTGAAATATATATTTTTCATGCTTGATAATTGAAAATTTGGTGGGTATTGTATTCTGGGCTTACATCTGTGCAGTCCTTTCTTGCTTTTGTATATTCTCTATTGAAAAGTCAAGTACAATTATAATATGTCTACTTTTATGTGTTGCTTCTCTTTTGTTGTTAGTTATTATTTTCCTTTGAAGATTTTAATATTCTCTCTTTTTTCTCTATATATAATGTTCTGATTATTATGTGATAATGGAACTTTCTTTTCTGGTCCAATCTATTTGGTGTTCTGTGTGCTTCTTGTAAGATTTTAGGCACAAATTTTGGTTAGATAATATTTCTAA